ATGGGGCGGGCCGTTACAATCTAGGAGGGTGGGCGTCCGGGAACGAAATATGATGGCTTCAGACGCACGTATAACTAAGTATAGTAACTTCTTATAAAGTACAACTAAGTATGAAACAACCATGATGAAGCTAAGTAATTGAACCCCACATGTTTATGTCTCGTACTTGCTGCACGGTGGACTTGTTTTTCTCCAGTTTCAGATGCGAAGGTCGCATGGACGGGTAACTGGGTGCAATTCGTGGACAACATGATGCAGCAGATAGTGACGAGCACGTACACACGCACGCTCCTTCTGCCCACCCGCATCCGACACATCAAGATCAATCCGACGCTGCAACGACAACGGCTGCAGAGCAGCGGCGAAACAACAGGTGGCAGCACTGTGCGGTGTTGTTAGTGCGGTGGATGTGCATGCTTATAGGGATTCAGTGTGACACTGACGTGCTCACAGGCATTCTCAGTCTGGCATTTCATGGTGCTGCGAGTGCAGGTCAATTCCAGCATAACCTGCGTGCAGAAACAATTGATTCGTGTGTAGCGCTGTCAGGTATATCATCATGCATTGACCGTTGTGTGTCAAAAATATCGCACGCTCGTTCAATCACAGCTGCGCGGGGGTCTAGATCAAACTGATCGAGCACCTAAATGGGAGGCTCAGTCCTTTTAGACCTGCACCCTATTGAAACTGACTCCTGCTCTCTTTACTGAACGCATTGCTTGCTTCCCCTCATCTTACTATTACTGGGGCACTTGGAAAAGGCGCGTCTGAAGCATTAATTGTGTGATCAATAGCAGAACTTATGCATTTCGCATCGTTTGAAATTAGTACGAAAATGTGAATACATGACTTTTACTCATTTTAATTATTCGGTTTCGTGTTTAGTGCTACACTCGCACGTCAATCACGTGCTCAACAAGTGCACAGCAGGTGGCGTTGAGATCACGGACCTGCACATGAGCCTCGCACCGCGGCGCCACCGTCACGATTCGCCGACGCTGGAGCGGCACGTCTTTGTGCCGTACGTTGAGGAGTTGAGAGACGCCGCGCTGGACGGATATGTGAGCGCCTGCGAGGAGGTGTGTGGCCGCATCGCCCGTGCTCTCGCTTCCACCGGGGGCGCCACCGTCCCCAACCCTCGCCTCCTCACCAAGATCCGTGAACGTACGCAGAACCAGTCGGATGCGGTCGACTCCGGATTCCGTGACCCCGAGGTCGCCTATGATGTCGGGACACCGTCGATGGCGGGCGCCTTCCCCTCTGCCGCCTCCTCCTCCCCCGCCCCTATCTTCAGCCTTCTCACCAATACCTGCAAGTGTATGCAGTCGGACATGGAAAACTCCTTGGACATGGTCAAGGTCACAGCCTGTTCGGCGGAATCCTACCCTGCATTGTCGTGCGCCGCTCTCCACTTGCTGAACAAGATGGCGGAGATTGTCATGCATCCATGTGTGCCTGTGTATCCATGTGTATGTGTGGGTAGCAGTCAGTTTTGTCATTCAGTACTGCATTTTTCCTTATTTGTGTTCAGGGCCATATAGCTTGCAGGAGGGGGGACAAGGGGGCAGCTGGCCCCGCTAGATTTGTGTGTGTGTGCGTGCGCGCGTGCGTGCGGGTGGGTGGGTGTGGGTGTGCATCCATGTGTGCCTGTGTATCCATGTGTATGTGTGGGTAGCAGTCAGTTTTGTCATTCAGTACTGCACTTTTCCTTATTTGTGTTCAGGGCCATAGCCTGCGGGGGAGGGGGGCTAAGGGGGCAGCTGCCCCCGCTAGATTTTGGAGCAAAATTAAAAAAATAAAATGTTCTACTAAAAGAGAATTGTTATAGTCAGAATGAAGGCCTCAAATACCATCTCCTCTGATCTACATTTTCAAAATTTTCTGTGGGAGGACCCCTAGAACCTCCGCCTGTTTCTCACCCCTTCCCTGAAATCCTGGAGCCACCACTGCCCCCCCTCTAGGAATTTGCTCAGCCTACTGCCCTGGTGTTTATATAGAGGTTGTGCCTTTTAGTGACATGTTTTGATGGGTTGAATTGTAGTTACTTGTAGAGAAGGGCAGAAATGCTTCTGGATTTACAGTGATACAGTAACAGTGTGATCTTGCGCATAAACTAAACAAACAAGCTCTCTGTCCATCTGTACTATCTCTCCCTTTCTACTGCACACCGTAGGAAACGTAGGAACACGTCTGCACTTAGTGGCATGCCTGTGATGATCCTGTGGTGGCCCTCCACAGTGGCTATCTAGAACAGGAATCACAACAGGTTTCCTGATATTATATCTGAGCTTTGCTAAGGTTGTAGTAGGTAAATTTAGGTTGGATGTGCCTATGTGCATGAACTAAGTGTCGGTACAACGTTTCATGCCCTTAAAACGCATGGACGGCCATAGTCCCTTTTTCTGTACAACTAACAACTTTCAGTTTCAAAGAGGAGACAGTTGTTTATTATAATGCAGTAACCATGCATTGCATTAGCAATTGGACAGAGTAGTTCAATTGACCTGCATCTTCGGCAGTTATAGAGATTAAATCAGCTAGCAAGATGCTGGATGAAATTCTATTTAAATCTTTCTTTTTTTTCTGTTTGAATTTCTATTAAAATCAAGGTAATTGACATATAACTACATTGCCCTTCCAATAATCGCATGGTAATGGTGCGAAATACTCTCTTCACAAGGTGAAAGACATCACCGTCTTCTATCTAACCCACCGCTCTCTCTCTCTCTCTCCCATCAGGCAAGGTGACGCTAGCTGTCAACATCATGCAGGCGACGGGCGACTTTCAGGTGACGGAAGGCGGGACGCTCGTCGCCAGGGGGCGCATCACGGCGCACGCGAGTCTCGACATACCCGAGCCGCTGAAGTTGAAAGTTCACGGCGAGCCGCTG